TGAATGGAGTCTTGCTTTTATAGGCACAGAGGTCCATGAAGTCTTTCACGTTGAGAACAGTGTACCAAAAAGGTCTGAGCCTTTTTGTCTTCACATCATATGACCTTTCCTAGAAGAAGAATGCACAGAAAAATCCTTTTTGTCTGTGTTCTTATGTCTAGCATAAATAAGGAAAGAGTCGTTTGGTTATTCCAACGGACATAACTTTGAATTCTTCTTCAACAAGTTTCAGCAAGAATCATCAGAGTCTGGATTGGTCAGAGTCTTCTGATGTTCATCAGAGTTTGCTGAATCAGAGTCTTTACAGCAAGTGTGCTTTCAGCGTGTAAATGTTCAGAGCAGAGTTTTGGATCAGATCCTCAGTACTGGTAGCGTTAGTACTATCAGAGTCTTCTGAAGTAACTGTGCTTGAAACTCTTCATACATAATTCCTTAATGCTTCAGATTCTTCTGTAGCTTCTGCTTCAGATTCTTCTGTAGCTTCTGCTTCAGATTCTTCTGCAGACAGCGCTCATAATCTTCTGGAGGCAGCGTTCAGAATCTTCTAAGAGATGCTTATGATGCTTCAGAGTCTTGCATATTTCTCATGTTCAGATCTAATTTGCTTCTAGAGTAATATTCACTTTAACATCTGCAGCAAACATTCTCAAACAAATTTTAGAGTATATAATTCCTTAATACAAAATTTCATAAGAGTTATCATCAAAACATAGAGATATTATTAAGAACCAATCTGTGTTCTAACAACCCCATCTAGGCAACGATCTATCCCTACCACGCTCCTCCTGAGCCCATATAATCAATCTCAGGATAGATCGCATACACTCCATCCGAGCAACGATCTATCCCTACCAACGTTCCCTATTTGGAGCACAGGTGAATCACATACGCCCCATCTGAGCAATGATTCAAATCCCGTCCACGCTCCCCATTTGGAGCACGGGTGAATCGCATACGCCCCATCTGAGCAACGATTCAATCCCGTCCACATGCTATGCAGACACAAATGCACGCAGCAAACACAAGCACATACGGTGCATACGATCCTACTGATCCATCATCATGTATCACATATATATTTATATGCATATATTCCACACATCACCACATACATGTATCATATCATACACCAATCAAAATATTCTAATCAAACGAATAACACGGAAATTACATTCCAACACCACACATACACTCACCACAACTCACCAACAATCTCGTAATTAATACATGACCAGCAAGGGTCCAACAACACAAGAAAGCCAAACAGAACAGCAGCAAAAATGCAAACTGCTGTCGAGCTCGCCCGGCGAAACCCCTGGAGAAGCCAGATAGTGGCTACTGGCAGTACTCGCTGCCCAGTTCGCCTGGCAAAGCCTAGCGAAGGCTCGCCCCCTCATTCGCCTAGCGAATGCTGGCGAATACCTGCGATTTCAGAAAAATCCCACTGAGCAGAAACAACAACTCTCTCCGAATTCGCCAGATTACGCACAAACCAGCTTCTAACACAACTAACCAACATTCTACGACTTAACTACAGAATCCATTCTCGGTTTCACCCGATAAAACCTCAGATCCTACCAATTAATCAATTTCGGCTTAAAAACGGTAAACTACCGAAAACCCCAAATCACCCAAACAAACACATGCAATGGATCAATCATACCAGCAGCAACTCAGAATTCACAACATCATAACAATCAGTTCATCAACATCTATGGGGTTAGGGAAATCCCATTCTACCTAGAATTCATGCAATACCGAATTTTAACCGATTCTTTCCCCCCTTACCTCAAATGCAGCTTTGATCGAAGAAACTTCAAGAGTCCACAGCCTAGCTTCCTCTTGCTTGCTCTTGCTTGATCGAGCTCTCACTCTCTTGATCGTGTTCTTCTCTTTTTCACTTCTACCGTGTTCTTCTCCCTCTCACGATCGTGTTTCTTTCTTCTTTCCTTTTCCAATATTCCACTATTGCCTTTAATCCCAAATTCTCCTTATAATCCAAATAATCCCAATTAATAAAATCCTCATTTTCTTTTAATCCAAAATTAATATAAAACTTCATAACATTAATATTAATAATAATAATAATAAAAATACTAATATCAATATTAACATTAATTATCAATTATTATCATATTAATATTATGTTCCTTATTTCTCAACACTTCCATACAAAGCACGCCGATAAGTAAAAATAACACCGGAAAAACTCAAATAATTAAAATGGGCGTTACAGCACGCCCTTGAGTTGTTATTCATTCACTATTTCGAATTCAAAATTTTCAACAATTATCTTCAACCTATTCAATAAACTTCTGAAAGAACTGAATTCTTGGAACCTCACATTCCTTGAATTCTTGAGTGGCAGCTCTTGAGGACGCCCCTTGGGTTGTTTGTCATTCGATATTTCGTTTCGCAACCATACTTTAAATCTCGAACTCAATTCAAACATCATCTTTTCGTGGTCATTACCACGAACTACTGACACTCTGATTCTTCATTCTCGTCTGAATATAAGATACGTAGGCACAAGATCGCGATGATCTTGGCGATCACACTTCTATCTTTCTCCGTAATTCCGTCCATAATTCCCTTCATCTTCCATTTCCCTCCTAACCTTTTCCGTAGTCGAACTACGACACTCTGATTTCTCATTCTCGTTCGAATGAGCATACGTAGGCAGAAGGGCTCCAATCCTTGGCGAGCACCCTATCCTTTAACCACTCATTTTCCCTTCTTAGCGTCTTCATCCTTTTATCCTACCAATTCGTATTTATCATTGAGAAGAAAACAAGCAAGCTTAGATAAACCCCCATCACAAATTACCCTAAGAGGTTCCCGTTGAGTACAACGGACGTGAGAGGTGTTAATACCTTCCCCTTGTGTAACTGACTCCCGAACCCGGAACGTCGGTTGCGACGACCTTGTTACTGTCCTTTCGTTTTAAATGGTTTTCTTGATATTTTCCTTTCCCGTCTCTTCGGGATAAATAAAGTCTGGTGGTAACTTTGTTGAACCGCATTTCGCGCCTTTTGCACGAGGGCCGCGTTTCTCGATTCGAATGATTTTTCGAGGTGCGACAATGGGGACGGGCTATGAGAAACTGGTCGCCGATGTCTTTTCGGGGGAGAGCGGGATCGTCGTTCTTTCTCTAGCATTCTGATGCGTTCGTTCTGCTGGAAAATCGTTAGGTTCATCTGGTTGATTGCCGGTAACAAAGTCGCCGTGGCAAGATCGACATTGGACGACACAAGAATTGGCTGAAAAACCGTTGGACTCTCGAAACATTGGGCAACGTTGTAGGCCTCATTGTCGGGGGATGGAAAGGTGGTGAGCCCGTCATTAGGGTTACTTTCTCCAACAGATGGCGCCACGTTGTTGTCGTGGTCGCCACCATTAGCGAAGGTGGTGAAGGCAACTTCGTGGATGTTATCGCCAATGTGTTGATTGGCTATGATCGAAAGAGGTTGAAGGTTTGCTTTGGTCCTTTGATTTCGAAGAAAGAAAAGACGGGGGAGCAAAAGGTTTCGACATACAGCGCCACTGATCTTATCGGATCAGAAAGGGGATCAGGAGCTAGCAACACGTCGTGAGCTTCAAGTTCATCGGTGGTGGAGAATAGGAGGGGGGTGTACCTTCAAGACACTTCGATGTCAAAGTGAGAAAGAGAGTGAAAGAGAGAGCATGTACAGAAAGTGAGTGAGTTTAGAATACCTGACCTTCTTGTAGAGGAGGATATTCTCTCGGACGTGGGTAGTTGGCTGATGACGTGTTCCCGCGTAAGAAGCACGTGGAAGACGCGTGATGAGCATGTGGGGTGTATGGTCTCCAACGATTATGCAAACTGGGGCCTTTGTGTCGGGCCTTCCTCGACGTGGAGTTGGGTTTGGCTGTGGTCGACGGTGGACCAACCCCAGATCCAATCTAAAACAAATACTAATTAATGTTAATATACTGTTAATTAACTTTTAATTAATTAATTAATAATATATAATTTGATCAACTTTTAATTAATTAATTAATAATATATAATCTGATCTTGCTATTTAGTATTTTAACGTTAATATATAATTTGATGCAAATTCTTAAACAAAAGAATTCATAAACTATATAATTTGATATGGTTCATTAACGTTAGTTAAAATACAGTTCATTAACTTTAAGTACTTTAACGTTAATAACTAATTTGATGCAAATTCTCAAACAAAAGAAATGCGTAGTGTAGTGGTAAATTGATGTTGCTTTGATGCCTGATGTCATATGTTCAATACCTTCAAGGATAATAGATTTAAGAGGGATTAAAATAATAGATGCTATTTTAAAACTCAGCTATATGGCAGAGACAAATTAACTATTAATCTTATATAAGAAAATAATATAAAATATTTTATTTTGGGTCCTTCCTACCTGCAAGATGTCATATGTCATATGTTCAATAGTAGATGCTTTAAGTAGTTTGTCAATTTACTTTCATTCTTTCTTGAAACCTCGTTAAGTAATATTTTTTAAATTGAGCATTTAATTAATCCTTTTTTATGGAAAGGGAGTGAGGTAAGGGTGAAAAAATGTCCAGCAACATATTTATTTTGCCCGTATTTCTTTTGGGACGTTGATAATTTAAAAATGTTTAATTGAAAGCTTCTTGTTTTTGTTTTCTTTTTCTCTTAGAAACAAAAATAAAATCATAAAAAAGGTTGCCAAATGGAGACATCATTTTCCCTTGTTCCTTATTGTGGTTTTGCTTTTCTCAAGTCAACCAAAGATAGAGACAAGCCGGGGAAGGAAAGAATCCGTGCGTGGAAGAATGAATGGGATTCCCGCTTTTGTCTCCTTCACCATCGCCAACCACGCTTCCCCTCTCAATTATTGGTTCCACCCACCAAATCAAAAACCCCACAACTCCCCAAAACTCAATCTTTTCACCTTCCTGTTTGCTCTTCCTTCGCTGTCCTATTGTGTCTCATCGCCGCCACATAAACAGCGGAGTTTTTGCAGCAAACATGAACGGGAAAGCTTCCGTTTCTAAAGAGCTTCATGCCAAACACACCAAGGTACCCTTTTCAATTTCCTTTTTCTTTTCATTCTTGATAACAGAAAATCTAATTATATAACTTTTACAAGAAAGGGATTCTTCAAAAGTTTTTCCAAATTGACTTGGCCTTTGTAATAGCATGATATTGATTCTGTTTTTTTGGATTCATTCCAGTTGAAGTTAGGCTTTTGTAACTTTTGAGTTTAAACATGATTTGTTCATGTGTGCATGCAATGAAAATAATTGATTATGTAAAATTGATTTTGCCTAAAAGTGAGTTGAAGATAAAATGATTTATGTTTGGATAAATAGTTTAAAAAATCACGTTTAGACTCAAAAGCTACAAATCCTGACTTCAAGTCTACACCACCATAATCAATTCTAATGGAGAACAACCAAACATGTCAAAATCAAGTCTACGCCTCCACAATCAATTCTAAGTGCTAAACCAAACATACACTTAAAGTTGAACTCACTTTTGCAAGAATATATCCAAACATAAATCACCGTATCTTCAACTCCTTTTTAGCCAGAATCAATTTTTAGAATTGTATTTCTTGCTATTGAAGAAACTGATTGCAGGTATATATATTAAAATGAAAATAGAACATCTAGTATTGCAGAAGCTGAAGTAATGATATTCTACTGTCTTGGTGTTTATATTTTGTTTTTCATTTTGTTTATGTGTGACTATATGCAGATCTTAGAAGGACTTCTTAAGCTACCTGACAACAGGGAATGTGCAGACTGTTGGACCAAGTATCCACTTTTCACAACCTATTATTTATATTAATTAAGAATACACATTGATGTTTTATTTCCTTTCATGAAGCTTAAGCTATTTAGTAGGTTCTTTTTCTTACTACCATCGTATTTTTAGTACTTCTGTTACTTGTTGTGCACCTTATATGCGCCTAGCATGATTTTTAGTATCTCACAAAACATGCGAGTCATAGCTCAATTCAATACTTTCAACTTGATCGATGCAAATCTTTAGCGCGTATCTATTAGGACATGAATCTCATATTGAATTCCGATACATTCTGATTAATCGCTATTGAAACTTGGTATATGAATTTTAATATTTCAGGGCACCGCGATGGGCTAGTGTGAACTTAGGAATTTTCATTTGCATGCAGTGTTCAGGGATTCACCGGAGTCTTGGAGTGCATATATCAAAGGTTTATATACATTTTTCTTCTCCGTTTTTCTCAGTTTAGAAATCGATAATGGCTAAACCTTCTGATTTTGCAACCAGGTGAGGTCCACAACTTTGGATACATGGCTACCAGATCAAGTTTCTTTCATGCAATGTGAGTAACTAGCAATCTATATCTTAATTACTTTCTTTGTGAAATATATTATGGAAAAAATTATGGGATACAATGGTTTGTTTTATGCAGTTATGGGTAATGTGAAGTCAAATAAGCACTGGGAGGCTAAACTACCACCGGATTTTGACAGAAATGGATATGGAATCGAGAAATTTATCCGTGCCAAGTAAACTGTTAATGGATTCTTATACATGAATATATGGTTCTAAATTGCAATCGCGGCCGCAGTTGAGGTTACATTGCATACTTTGATATTGCAGCAAAATTTGCGATTGTGAACTTTCTGCGAAGACTTCTAAAAGACTAAAACCTTTATCGATTGCAGTTGCAGACCACAATTTAGAACTATGCTATTCACATCGAGATGAATTTTCATATACTTTTTCCGTTTTCTAGCATTGCTAAGTCGCTTAAGTTCCGTTTAGGTATGTGGAGAAAAGATGGGCTTCGCCAGGTAAGCTACAATCAGCTCCGAAGTCGGCTGAAATCTTCTTTGAGATCAAAGAGTTACCAGCTGCGGCGGCCAAGAATGGTATTAAAAAAAACAGGAGATTGTCTCTTGAGGAAAGCATTCTAGTGAATCACATGGCACAGATTCGGCCTCCAATACCGAAATCTTACGAGGTATTCATTAGTGTTGTCAAACAGCAGCGCTTTATCGTAATGTCACACCGGAATATGAACAAATTGCTGTTGTTCTACAATACTCTTTTTTAGTACAAAGTGTTGTCGAAAACTAAAATACCAATTGAGTTTTATCTGTTGAGTTCAGGGCCCCTTATTAGATATTCCGATGAAGATTTCACCACCACTATTAAAGAGGCCATCAGCATCACTTGATTTTGATAACGCCATTGGAAATAGCAACGGTACCATCGATCTTTTTAACTTGCTTTCCATCCACGACGATAAACAGAGTACCTCAACTACACCTGCTAGTTGGACAACATTTGATTGTAAGATTACAGTACTTGTATCACATCCTCTGAATCCTTCTCCTATTTTCTTGTATACTCTTGGTAATAAAAATTCTCGGAGAATTATCATAGCCGGTGAATATTTTTGCCGAGACAAATTTAATGCTGTTATAGCTTATCTTGCATTCACATGGCTCATTTATGTTTACAGGAGAAGGCGCGTGAATTGTGTTTGTTCATAGATTGTTGAGATAGATTTTTCGATAGATGCCACAAGATTACGATTGCAGAAGTTTTTGCCATGTCAAGCAAACATCGTACTGATCCGGTGTGTACTTCTCATTTCAATTTGCCAATTTGATGTTTATCTTTATCTCCATAATTTGTTGACCCTTGTATTTTTTTCACATTGTTCATTGTGGTATGCAGCCTTAAAGTTACAAGAACTTGTCAAATCTTTGGAGAATCTGAAAATATGTTTATAAGATAAAGACATCATTCATCTTACATGTCGATTTCATAGGATCGAATTAGGCTAATTCTAAATTTTATAAGATGGTATCAGAATCTATCATATAGATCTATTTGGCTGCCCTCTATCAGGTCATCCGTGTGACGGACGAGTTGAGGTTGATTCAGAAGGAGAAAGGGATTAAGGATATCACATTTATTTTTTTCTTTTCTTCTTTCACAATGTCACTTCCAAGAATCTGTGATTCAAGAGGATGTACATGAAATTTGTCATGGCTTAAGTTTGTTCTTGTTCTGGTGTAACCTTTTTTATTCTTATATCAATCTAAATAGGCGATAACTTTATTTAATTTTGGTTTGTTCAATATTGGTAGACATGTTCAGAAGTTTAATCTTCATTTCCTTTAAACTTCCAACTTTGCAATATTGTTAGGCTTTAATTTTTTCACACATAGTGAACATTAATGGTTAAACAAGGTTAGAAAAACAAATCATTGATATTGTATCTTGTTATTTTACATGAAAAAACAGAAATTAAAAAATTGCTTTTACCAAGTAGAAGCTAATGGGATGGTGATTGCTTGTATTGAATTTAGGTCTCTCAATTAAGAGAACTCAATTACAAATTATTTAAAATGTAAGTATTTGATTATAAATCATTAAAAAGTTATTAGAGATTTAGGTATAAATTCTTTGAAAGGTTATAAATGAAATCCAAAGAAATAGATCATGAATCAATTATCCAAACCAAACACAACATATATATTTATAATAGAAGAGGAAGTAATTATAGATTGATAACAAGGATGGCTTAGAAATGGGAGGCAAGCGAACATCAAGTTACGAAAACTGATATATTTTTTTTTTAATTGGTAAAATTAATCTTAAAAATTACACACATAGTATTAGGAGATACTTTAGATTCTATAAAAGATTCAGTCTCTAATGGTAGGCGATCGTACCTGATCAGAAGAGATCGCTGGCTTGCTACGCGTCTGAGCTGTCGGACTGTTGATTTGACGGACGGAGGGAGGGGGGGGGGGGTGTACCTGAAACACACTCCGATGCCAAAGTAAGGGTCGAGCAGAGTGATAACAAGTACAGAGAGAAAGGAGTAAGAATGAGATCACCTGACCCTCTAGTGGAAGAGGGTATTTATAGTGAACCCCCAGCACAGGGCCAATGGTTACTATGCATTGGGCTGTGCTGCCAGGCCTAATGCTGGTAACTGCTAGGGCTGACGCGGCGTCGTGAAGACTAGCACGTGGTCTTCGCCCTAGTGTAACTGTTTCGTGCTATCCGGGAGGTGGAGGATCGAATAATCAGGGCACGAGTAGTTACCTGATGACGTGTCTCCGCGTAGGGGACACGTGGGGGAGGTCAGAGTGTGGGGCAGAAGAGGGGAGAGTCAGGCAGATATGAGGATCCTGCTCGACTGCCGTTGGTCCGTGCCCGACGGGAGAAGATGTTCTGTCTGACAGGTCTCTGCCCAATGATGAGGTCTTATTGGGCCTTCTAACCTGATGGGGTTTGGGCCTGCTCGACTATGGGCCAAGCGTCGACCCAATCCAGAACAGTAGGAAATAAAAAATGTTAAATACAAGTGTTAGAACACGTTTTTCATGTTAGATTATTTTATTTGAAGCGATTTTGAAAGTTGTCTATCCCATAATAAAAGTTTCATTTATCGGTCATTTAAGTGGAGAAACTCTAATCTAGTCTACACATGTATGTTTCTCTCTTAGCCACTTGTACATTAAAATGTTTCAAACAAAACACCATAATAAATTCATGTTGGTATTTGAAGTTTGGAAGCTCGCTACAATGAATTACATGTGTCCCATAAATGTAACCAACCACACCTTACGACAATATGGCAACCTCAACAATAGAAAATAAGGAACTCATGAGAATGATACTCTATCGGCGATATTGTTAGACGATGGCTCGGATCTAGAAGGGGGGTTGAATAGAACCCAATTAAAAATCTAGTTGGCGCTTACCAATTTAAAATTGGTTTTTAAAAATATTTTTAAGTGCGGAAGCGGCCTTGGAAAAACACGTCTAAAACGAACCGTTATTGGAAGATCGGATATGCGTTAAGCTAACGGATATGATAATAAAAGAATAGTAGATTCAATACACTAGTCACACTAATCAATTGATTTCACCACTAATTAGTAGTGCTAGTTCCAATGCTCAACACAGCCCACCAAAATATAGCAAGTAAACTAAGTAAGTTTTGGTTCAGGCAATTTATCGAACACTTGGTGTGCAAAACACTCCAAGTGGATTTTGACTTAAGTAAGTAACTTTAAAATCCTTGTACAAGTGTTTATTGTACTCAAGTTTAAACAGTATCAGTTACTTACTAAATTCAATTTTCGAATCAATCAAGTTGCTTAAACTAAAATTACTTAATTTTTAAGCTGAAAATGAAAATGCTGAAAAATAAAGAAGACAAAGATTTGTTGAGGCAGTTCCCCCACCGTCCTCGCTTCGGGGTACGTCTGCCCTCAATTCTAAAAATAGAATTGAGATGATTTATAATAGATATCACCTGAAAAGTTGTAGTAGTTTATACAAGAGTTGATAAACAATAATACAAACAATCCCTATAGATGTTGATGTTGCTATCACTTCTTGCTCCTTGATTCGAGTTGAATCAAGACCTTCGATTGTTGTGAATTGACCTCCGATTCCAGCCCCTTTGTTGAATAACTTTCAGTTCTTCAAACCCTCGGCCCGACTGATCTTAGACACCAACAAATCGAACCCGGAACTCCCTTCAACACTTCACAGCCCCAACTACTAGATTGATGAAATCTTCCGTTTCTCAATCACCTTCGCACCGCTGAATGTTGATGGAGACTATCCGTACCAAAAACCCCCAAATTCGTAGAATCTTGGAGGGCAAAACCTTCAAGGTTTTATTCAAGAAAAACCTGCCACAATTCTCCACCCGAACTGGATTTTCACTCAACGGATTCGAACCTTATCACCTTGAACGAGACACAAAGCACTCCAAAAATGGTTGTGTGTAGTTGCAGTGTTGTGTGTTGTTTGAGGATGAAGATGAAGAGAAATGTAGGCACCTATTTCACTTTTCTTGTTTTCACAATTTACTCAAAATGTAATTGTTAATCAGTTAAAATGAACAACCTACTATTTATAGTAATAAGCCAATTAACTAACACAACAGCATTTCAAACACAGTGAAAAAATACTTAACAACGCGCGAACGGTCGACCATAGCAGGTCTATGCGTCAATGCATGACCTGCAGATTTTAGCAATATTAAAAGCCCAACAGTATGCGTCGACCATAGGTCGGCGTGTGCTGACCCGTGGGAAAGTGAAGTCTTCATGCGCTGACTGATGGTTGACTCACAGCTTCCATGCGCTGACCCGTGGGAAAGTGAATTGGGTTATGCGCTGACTGGTGGTCGAATCACAGCTTTCATGCGCTGACCCGTGGAAAAGTTAACTAGGTTGTGCACTGATGTGTGGTCAACTCATAGCTTCAAAAACCTGCAAAAATGATCAATTGTTGTTTCGTGCGTTTTGTCACGACTGAATATTTATCACGTGTTATATCGATGATAATATGACGAATTAAAGAGATATATGAAGGATATGATATGTTAAGTATTTCAATTGTCTTCTGGATGAAGTTGACAGCTCCTATTGATCCGAGGTTGTACTTTGTCATCATCGAAACTTGAGAACATATGTTGTGTGACAGCTTGCCCTCACATACTCCCCATTTTTTATGATGACAACCTGTGCGAAGCTAGTGAGAACAACATTGCAATATTATTAACATAGCAGCATAAACTCCCCCTTTCTTTTGTAATCTTGCACTTTTATGTGGAAGAGCTGTTGTGATCTACTTGGCTTTTCTCCCCCTTTGACAACATCAAAAAGAGATGGAGAAGGTAAAGATTGACAGAATAACAATTAACAAAATACTCAACAGGTGATAACTAAACATTTACCAATATTCACACATAATATTGAAAATGAAAGAGTAAAGCCATTAATAGATAAAGTATTGAAAACATTCAAATGGGCTTAATATTCCAACAACAAAAAAAAACACATCATAGAAAATGAAAATATGCAATCATGCATCTAATATCCCCAGCCCCGGCCCCACCCCCTGTACGCAACATCCGGATTGCGGTAAGGATCATAGTAGTCGACAAATGCTTCCACAGACAAATTTAGGTGATTGAGGCTGTGAGCAATTTCCATGTCCTGCCTCTCATTTGATGCAGCGAGAGCTTCAAAACGGGCATCCATCCTAGTGGAAAAGGAATTTAACCGTTCATTTTGTGTACGTATCTCAGCTCGGATTTGTTCCATCCGCGTATCTTGACTTCTCATAAAGTTCTGTTGGTCCAACTACATGGACTGTAGCATGTTGAGAATTTCAGAGTTGTCTGACTGCGGAGGAGATGGTGAAGATTGAGGAGGTTGATGTTCTTGAGGATAGCCATGGTATGGATCATAATATTTGCCCAGAGTGGTCTAGCCTGTGTACTGCCACTCACCCTATCCTTGATTAGTGTATCCTTCTTCTTGTTCGTCAGGTGGAGCTGTGTGATGAAGCCAATCAGTATTTGTGAACTCATGTTGGTCTGGCTGGTGGTAATTGTCATGCGTCTCATATGCTGGTTCTTGTACCTGTTCTGCTTCATTTTCGTCTTCATCTACCTGTTCGTCTTGTTCTTCGTCCTCCCGTTCAGAACTTTCATCAAAGTCGTCAA